TTTATTTATGATATAATAAATGCAACTTCACTTCGTTTTGAACGTTATGGAGCTTTCAAGAATAGAAAATGAATTTTAAAACTTATACCGGTAGTACTAAAATTATATAAGCTTAAACAATTTTTTAATTAAAATATTTAAATACGAAAATAATTCTTGCTAATTGTGAAGTTTCTATTTACAGCTGAAGGTCAATAGAATATATGTTTTTGAAATAAATATTAAAAAGCAATTCCATATTTAATTGTAAAAATACACAGCAGTGATTTTTAAATAAATTTAAATTGTGAATAGCTTACATATTTGGAATTTCTTAAAATAAGTTATAAATTTTAAAAAAATATTTCTTGACAATAAATTATTTAAGATAAATTTTTAATTTTTAAATACTTGTGCCACACGTGAGGTACATATTAAAATATTTGAACCTTTAATAATTTATTTCAAACCTGTTAATTTTAAATAAAATATAATGAATATTTAAGAAAAAAATTATTCTTAAATATAACACAACAGATATAACGGAAGCAATTTGCTGCTAAAGCCCTGTCAAATCTCTAAACCAGATCGTGATATAATTAATGTTCAATTGATTCTTCAATGCGTACCCCTTTCAGATAAGAGTAAAAATAAGTCCGAGGTAAGGCATTTCTGTCGTAAGTTGATACTATTTGGAGTGTAAATGGTTGTGAATGAATTTCACATGTGGCAGATTTAATAGCAGATTTAAATCTGCTATTATGGGGTCTTGAACTACAACTTCGTCTGTTCTGATCAATAGACGTTGGCTTTTTTAATGGGAATATTGTGGTGGCTGTAGTTAAAACCCAAAGTTATGCTAGTAGAATTACTACATTCATTCATGATGTGGAGTTGCATTTCTTAATCTGGTGTTGTGATCCAAAGAACGGTAAAGCTGTTTGATAGACATCGAAAATTATAGAAAGTTATACTCAAAGGTATAGCATTAGTTCGTACCGGTGGAGTTCCTTGGAATTCCAATTGTGACGTTTATCGGCAAATTATATTGATATGTTATATCAAGAGCATCGTGGTGTTAAGCCTAAATGATAGATAATTATATCATACGGAGAAATTCTACTGCAGTCTCTACTAGGGACATTCAATTTAGTCGCATACATACTACTAGAACAATTAACTACAATGGTGTAGATAACTGGATAAGCATTATTATAAAGAACTATGAAGAATTATAAAGACGAATTATAATTATATTTACGGTTAAACAGTTGTTTGCACTAAAAATAATTATAATAACTTACTTACACAATCAATAGTAGCTACTGTTTATACTACATAAATTTTTGTACATAAAAAATTTTTTATTAAAAAATAAAAAGTAAAACTAAATACATTTCAGTTTATGTACAATATTTTTTTTTAAATTTTCCAATAAAAACATTTATAAAATGTAAGTGGCATTTTTTGACACATTCAATTAATTAGTGTATTGGCCTTAACTACATAAGTTCACATTTATATATGTATATATATATATATATATATATTCAATATCATTTCAAATAATTTCCATGTAATTATTATTCAAATGACAAACTCACTTTCATTAAAAAGATATACAGAATTTGTATCTGAGTGCGTTGTACGGATTGGCAAGTGTCATTGTATCAAGAACGTTTAAACATTGAATAATAAAATTTCAAATAAATATTTGTGATTACTTTTTGGAACACGCAAAAATTGTATCTTTCGTATATTCGCTGCTTTAAAGGGTAAAAACAACAATAAAATACACAAAACACACAAAAAATAATAAAAGGAAGAAGACTCTATAGGAATAGAAATTGGGTCAATTAAAGTAAGTGATGGTCAAAAATCGATTTAAAACATCAAAATAATCATAATTCAATTTATTCTCAATTGGAATGCGCCAACTCACGGACACGGAACAGTTCAAATCGATTAAGAAACAATAAAAGGATCTGCTAACTTCGTGAGGTGAATGATTTCTATGTGCAAAAATATGGAGAGACATGGACCTTGACCGATATTACGAGAAAAAAAATTGTTTATTGATTTATTAATATTTCGGTAAAGATTTGAAAATTAAATATAAACAAATTGACGTCATAAAGTTATGACAAGCAACTGTGCGTATTAAGTTCAAAAGTATTTATTTAGTAAAAATTCTATACAAGTATTAATGATTATTGAATTTAACTATATTATATTATTTTTTACATTAATATGAGTATAATCATAAATAAATATTAGTTTATTTAATTGTTTATTATATTAAGTTCAAGCGATAAAAGCAATCATTGAAGATATATACTCAATTATTAGTTATATATTGTATTTTTAATAAATATCTCATAAGAGAAACATGTTAGTGAATATATATTAGTAGAAAGTTTTGAAATAACCTCAAGTCTTACAGTAGATTTGAAATGATAATAGAAAATTTTAAATTCAATTTGATCTGCCGCTTTCTTGGTAGGCATAATTACAAAGATAACTACGCTCATTACAAGTCAAACACTGAAGTAGCTGACATCTGTTAGAGGCTGTAATGAATCTACTTACGAGTGCCACTTTAAGTTACTGACTGCACTGTTTGTCTATTGTTTGTCACAGCATCAATTGAGAAAGTTGTTATCAATTGTGAATGTGTTGAATGTTTGCTGCAATCTGTCTAAATTTCTTCGCAAATAATTCAAATAACAGCTTGACAGCAGTAATCAAGCGATATATCACTAGTATTTTCCGCATTATTTATATATGGGAAATGTAATTTTAAATAACCCTTTCCAATTTTATACAAAACATATCTGAAGCAACTCAACTATCATAAGATACATATAAGCAGTACAAATATATTCATATAGATCTTATAAATATTTTGCTAATTTTTGTATTTGTATAAATCAAAAATATAAACTATGTTTATAATAAAACATAAAAAATAATTTTGTCTCCAAAGTTTTAATAAAAAATCTATGAGTTTATAAGCTGTAATTTAATGATGGAAGTGCCTCTTATATTTCATTGAATCTAACATATTTGGTAGTAAAGTTTTCAAAATTAAAAAATAAATTAATTATCTGAAAAAATATCGAAAATACTATATTCTATAAGTTTAACTACTCTACAATATACACATTTATTGAAAATTTATCGCATAAGACACTTGTATCTCACATAACTTTACACAGAATAATTCCATGAAGCTCACATAAACCAAATCAACTGGCTAGGAAAGAGGTTCTTTAGAAGACTCACAGCCCAAAAATTTCTCATAAGTTGTCATAACTTTGCATACCACAATATAAATATATCATCGACCCATGTTTAAATAAGTAAATAGAGTGTGTATGCAAACAAATATTTTCAAGGAAGCTAGGATTATGTGCTGGTCATACTACATTCAATTTACAAATTTCGTACTTTTATTCTTTCACAGAACAGATTGTAGAGTGCTAACAGGGAAGCATACAGGGCATTGTCTGCTATCATCATATGCCCTAAAAATAATATTGATCAATAGTGACATATGTAGAACATGTGGAACACCGAACTTAAGAGAGCCCGTATATTATCTGCCAGCACTCAATACTTATAAGACTAAATCAAAAATACTTAGGTGATCCATGACTTACAGTTTTAATATTATTATTAAAATTATTATTTAATATATATTATTAACAAAAAAAATATTTCACATAATTTTTGGTATTTTATTTTAAATAAATTTTAATATTTTTTTAATTATTATTACTATTATTATTTTTAATACTGAATACTGAACACATTGCTATATTATGTATATATATATATATATATATATATATTTATAATAAAATAATAATAAAAATTTTTAGAAAAAATATTCTATAATAAAAAAATTATAAACTATCATCTTTATAAAATATATATCTTTAATTAAAAATTATTTTATATAGAACGTAAAATTTTGAATTTGATTATAAGATTTTCGTGTTGTAAATAATATTAATATATTTATTAAGCACTAATATAATAAAATAATAAACATTTTTAGAAAAAATAGTCTATATAAAAAAATTAAAAAATATAGTACTTAAACTAAAAATTATTTTATAAAGTATGGGAAATTTTAAATTTGATTATAAGAAGTTTTTGTGTTCAAAATAATGTAAATTTATTTAAAGGCATAAATATATAAATATATTCCATACTAATATAATACATAATAATAATAATTTGAATTTATCTTGAAATTTATAATTAGTTTCAAAATATTTTAATATAATAAAAGAAAAATAATTTTTTCTAAAAATTTTTATTGGTTTCATATTTTTAAAATTAGAAATTATTTTATAAGATAATAAAATTTTTAAATTTAATTATAAGTCATTTTCGTGTTGTAAATAATATCGTATATATTATGTATATATTAAAATCTTATATATTAAAATAGTAATAAAAATTTTAAGCAAATATATTTTATTTTAAACACAAATATAATAAAATAATAATAGAAATTTTGAAAAAAAATGTTCTATATAAAAATATTAAAATAAAATATCATATTTCTTCATTTAAAAATTATTTTATAAAGTATGGCAAATTTTAAATTTGATTATAGGTATTTTTAGTGCTATGAATAATATCAATATATTTAATTAATATTAACTAATACTATAGTATTATTAATACTCTATATAAAATAATTAAAAAATATATTACTTAACATAAAAATTAATTTATAAAGTATGGCAAAATTTAAATTTGATTATAAGTATTTTATAAATATTTCTAGTATTTTATTTGATTATAAGTATATTCATAATATTAAACACTAATATAATAAAATAATAATAGAAATTTAAAAAAAAATGTTCTATATAAAAAAATTAAAATAAAATATCATATTTCTTAAATTAAAAATTATTTTATAAAGTATGACAAATTTTTAATTTGATTATAATTATTTTTAGTGTTGTGAATAATATACATATCAAGACGTTTATTCTTACCGCTTTTTCCGATATTCTGAGTGTGTTGCTGACCATTTTGTCTCAGTTGACTTAATCCACTCGTCTGCCAATTTTTTTCTAACAATTTTCAATTCTTCGATAAACTCATATAACGTTTGAGACAAACATAAAACTCAACTGGTATAAATCACAGCTTAGGAGAACAACTGTTTTGCAAAACAGTTGCTGGCTTTATAGGCAGCAGTAGTTTGTAAAAAAATTGTTTTTTATATATATTTTGCAACAAAATGGCGTTTGAGTTCTTAGTTAAAGACAAATTTTTATGAAAAAAGCACGATTTTAATAAGCAAGAACAGAAAAATTATTTAAATATGAAATCTCAACAAAATTAACAAAGGTTATGCATTTATGAATATCAGCCTACACGTGCGTATTCCAAATATATTTTATATTTTATTAAAAAACTTAAAAATGTTATAAGAAAAAATTGTAAAAGCAGGTGTGAAAAACCGCTTAAACGTTTCTTAAATATGCGAAAACAATGACGCGAAAGTTTTTGACGGTCACACACACCAGTGGCAAAAATTCAAAAAATTTAATATTGTTTACACAGATCAAAATTATTTTTCACAATTTTAGATAAAAACAGAACGACAAAATCGCGACAGAATATTTTTCAACATTTAAAGTTCACAACAGCAACAACAACAACAGCAACGAGAAGCTCAAACAATGAAGTTAACGATGCGAACTGAAGCTGTCATCACGGCTCGACACTTGGTACTCGAATGAAACCGCTGCACTGCATTCGAGCGCTTTAAAATGGAGAAAATGCACTGGAATTGAATTGACATTTTGCTCTTGCGGTGCTGAGATCGTAAATTTTGTAATTTTATAATTTACATTAAAAAAAAACATTAACTACAAGAATAACAAAAACAACAACAATATATATAATCTATATATCTATATATGATAACAATATCTAAAATAAGAATCATAGTTATATATATTAAAAACTTAATCATATTTATTATTATTATTATTTTTTTTCCACTCTATATTATTTATTATTTTCAAAAATAATAATTTTATTATAATTATTATTATTTTGTTAGCAAATTTGGTAAATCTCTGTAAAATAAAACTTCTCTTTTGGGTTATTCTTCTCTTCGCTTTTATTTTTTAATTTTTTGCTTGATATAAAACGGGTATTTTTATTCTTAAAAGTTTTTACCCAATAACAAATTTTTTAAACAAATAATAGAAAAAAATAAGACAATAATAAAATAACTATTCAATGAAGCTTTATTTAAACTTTTTGTTAGTTTGATATGTAAATAATAATCGTTGTGCGGGCGCTTTGTAATAATTTCGGCAATTCCAACAAAAATATAAATAAATACCTATATAAATAAACATTAAATAATTTATTGTTTTAATAAACAAATGTTTTTTTAAACATAATGTTTTTTTAAGTGCCTATCGGTCAATGGTTAAATAATAAGCTTTTTAAAAATTTGTATTTGTTTTTATAAGATTTTATTTTAACCGATATTTTGACTACAATCTATAGTCATCATCCGGGTAGCACCCCGATTGACCAATTAGCCCATAAAAAACAAAATTATTATTATAAACATTAAATAAAATAAAAAAATATAAAATGAAAAAAATAAAATAAATATATAATAAAGCTTAACTTAAACTTATTACGAATTAGAAATGCAAATAAATAATCGTCAGGCACTTAATAATAATTATGTACAGTACTAAAAGTATTTTCACACAAAATATAAAAACAAATAAAATAAAAAAATAGTAAAATTAATTAAGTGTGTAATAAAGTTTTGTTTAAATTTATTATGTACAAAAAATATGAATAAATAATCTCTAAACGCATTAAAATAACATTTTCCAATACATGAAGTATTTATAAATTCATTCTTTATATAAGTAGTTTCAACGTTAATTTAAATTATCTTTAATTTAAGTTTTAGTTTAGTTAAATTAAAATACTATTTCAAATATGCAGAAGTCCAGAACTATCATTGTACTTTCTTATGTCTCCAACAAACATGAAATGAAACAGATATAAATATATGTTTACCAAGTTCTACTCACCTTATATATAGATATATATCAAAATATATTGATAAATATATATATATAAATATATAGTTATATATATATAAATATATAGTTATATATATTAAATATATAAATATATTTACATAAATTAATAGATATATTTATAAAAAGATTTATAAATAAATAGATACACATATTAATCTACCATTTTGAAGATGCTAATTCATAGTAGATGTATTAGATCAAAGTAGTCAGAGCTAGTAAACGTCTGTGCATCTGTTTTAATGTTAACTAGTCTCTGTATAAACTAGACAGATAAATTTTGAACACGAAGGTCTTGAGAACAAATTTTGAACAATTGAACAATTCAGAATAATCAAAATCTCATGGAAAATAATGCAATTATATCACGTAGAGTTACTAACATAAAGATGGTATTAAAAATCTTAACGATATTTTATTTAAGTTCAGGATTAAATTTAAATATAGTTCAGATACTGATGGTTTATATTATGTCTTTATAGAAAACCTATTCGTAGTTATGTATTTGTTTCTCAATTTTGGATGTTAAGGATTATATTTTTATTTATAAGCAATAAAATATTATGTCGAAAAGCATACAATTTAGGTATAGCTGTATTATAAGATAAGTTATCTAACAGAGTTTTAGATAAATGATTGTACTCTTCTAAATTTTGTTTTCATATCTAGACGGTGGAGAGTTGTATTTAAAAATTTCATTGCTCCATTAGTTTGAATTAAACTAAATTAAATTATATATTAACATATTTATTTCATTTAATAGCTTATAGTATATATCTGCTATCAAATTTATCACTTGGTAGTAACTCAGGTATAGGATCTGTTATTTCCTATCGATATTAGTTAGAGTAAATTCTATATAATATTAGCAGAGGCCATTTTTGTGAATTTATAAAGCGATTTATTGCTAAGACAGTGCCACTAAGTACATTTCAAAGGCCCTTTAAAGCGTTTTTTATACTAGATTTTATTAGATTTTCAACACAGACCCTGTGAACGTAGATCTAGTACATACACTTCTTTGCAATAGCACAATCTAACAGTTATAATACAAATTTTACTAATATTCATTATCTATATTCATTTATTTATTATTTTAAAATAACATTTTATAATACATTTGTCATTCTAGTATGATAATCATATTCTGCAATTACACAATTACATTTTATGATATAGAATTCATTCTATAATGACAATTAGATCAAAGTCAGTCTAAAATACTTCAAATAAATTCGCATCTGTTTTATATTGATAAATGTTTTAACCAGAGATCATTACTTATATAAATTTATTTACATTAATAGATTTTATCTTAAAGTTAATTAATGTTTATATCTCTTAAAAAAATTGTCTATAAGTAGTCAACTTATAGTGTAGTGTTTATTTTAATTTTTCATTATTTTTGACTATTCATTTTATAAAAAAAGAAACGTATTTCTCCAAACATAATATATATTTCCGATATATATGTATATATCCAACTAGAATTGATAGATAAAGCAATGTTTTTTTAGAGAATTTTGACGAAATTGCTACTTAATAAGAATAAAATTTTTGAAAACTATTAAAAGAAATACATTTTAATAAATATAATATACCACAGCAATTTTTACTATAAGATACAAAATACCAGAACAATATGCGAAGGCAATGCTCATTTGGTCATCATCACTCTGGCCTTTTCACACATACCTATATCCTTGAAATAATGGTATTATACCTTTGAAAAAATTAATATTGTTTAAAAGTATGTTGATACTTTACTTACTATGTTATATAATAAAACTATTATTTTACTATTTATTTTATAATATTTTTGTTTATTGTAATATTCATTGAATTCTTTATCGTTTAAAATATTACCAAACACTTATTGATATATAATGGATTATTTTAATTTTGCATGTTTTCATATAAAGTTTAAATTAGCATTCAAAAGTCTGCTTCTATATGAGTCTGTGTCAGATATATCTAACGTATATATTAAGAGATAAAATGTTTGTTTGAAGAAATACCACGATATCATGCCATTTTTCGGTTTATCAGTTGTTATCAAAAACAGCTGAATAGATGTTTTTTTTACATATAAACTTTGTAATATCATTGCATAGCTATTCAGAGTTGTTTACTACATTCAACCATATGTTTCACTTAGAATAATAATATGTAGTGATGTCTTTATCAATTCATACAATATTTAATATTAAGGGTAATTAAATAATGATGACTGTCTACTATAATATTGATAAATTAATTGTATAAAACTATATATAAATTGTATATCATATGAACAAAATGCTACTGTGCATCATTTTGTAAATTTCCAACTGGGCTTATTAAAGTAAACATTTTCTAAAGGCAATGCACTCAATCAATTCGCTCAACCCCAGGAAGAAAATTTCGTTGTTATTTCTATACATTTTAATTAATATAGAGTATGTATGTATGCACATAATCACCTCGGCTTTTTATATAAATACATACGTAGTAATTTTTTTTATGATTTAATATTTTATTTATATTTATATATCTTTTATTTGTATTTTTATACAAATTTATATATATTATTATTATATTGGAAATATTGTTTATATTGTTTATATTGCTTATGTACTTGATTGTAATACAGTACACACACATATCATATACATTTATATCAAAATTATTATGTGATTTTTTTTTTTATTAAAGAACAAATATTAAAAAATTCAATAAACAAACAATTAAGCGGCGCTCACGAAATCTGTCACTCAAACTCGGAAATATTGTGCATTGATGGGGGAAATAAAAAATTTGTTATCGCTGGTCATGTTTGTTTTTGTTGTTATTTTTTTTGTATTTTTTTCGTATAATGCAAAAATATTTTATTTTTATAGTAGTAATTTTTTATTATTGTTGTTGTAATTGTATATTATTATAAATTGTTGTTGGTATTGTTGAACGTTATTGACTTTGAACTTTTTAAATGGAAATGCACTGTGAAGCTGTTGTGTGAATGATGTTTTGGTGACGATGCCATAAATGAATAAAGAAGCAGTTGTTGTGATGGATGATTTGCATTAAAGTAGCTGGAATATATCACAGAAATGATGATCATTTAATCGAGATTAATTTGATATGGAAATTGATATACATATGTATATATGTATGAATAATTTTCGTATTACTGATTTAAATAATATAATAAACATAATTTTTTTTGATATTAAAAATTTGTATGATATGTGAATTAAATTTTATGGAATAAGTTTATATATGGATATATATAAGTTTTCAAAACTGATAAGTATATCAATACTATATACATACATATTTGGTATGTGAGTAATAATTGTACAGGTATTTATATCTAACGTACTAACGAACCAAACGACTCAAAAAGTAGCATAAAATTAAATAAAAAAGTGGAAGTGGATAGGCTATACCCTTAGACAACCGATATATTATATAGTGAGAGAGTCGTTGGCATGGAATTCACAAAGTAGTAGAAGACCTGGTGCGCCAGCGAAACGTGGAGAAGAATGGCCGAAGGTGAGTAAGCTGAAGCACGATATACTTCAAACGACATCTACAGAGAAGCTCCAAATAGAGTCAGATATAAAAGAATTATTGCGGTCTTATGCCCCACTGGGGGCAGTGGATAATAGTAGTAGTAGTAGTATATTAAACA